AAATTGGCATGTGAAGCTAAATTGTTGAAGTGATCATCAATTGTTTGGTGACTGGAACTGTAAATATATGGTTTCACCATTTATTATTTTTGCAAAATTACACATCTACATGTTCTATGTGCACTATAATTCTTGATGTGTACACTTATGTGTCTGTACATACACACTGTGACCATTTTGAAGCAGTGAACCTGTATTACTAGGTTATAATTTTGTATATTCCCTGAACATGAAAGAACAGGAATGCTTTCAGTGCCAGAGTGAGAGTAATCAGAGGAGGAATTTCTGTATTGACAATGGCCATAGATACTGTTTACAGAAAAGAGATTTCTACATATTGCTAATGAAACTTACTATAAAAATAAGTCTTCATACTGTTGCCAACTATGAACAACAAGACAAAACTAATGTTCTGCTACTGAATATATCATTTAACAGTAACTTTCTTGCAGCTGTTTTCATGGAATCATTCCTCAGACTGTAGATAATAGGGTTGAGTGTTGGAGGAAGTACTGTGTAAAACATAGAGATGATAAGGTCTAGGGCACTTGGAGAGTCTGAGGTTGGCTTTAGATATGCAAAGATGCCAGTGGAAATATAAGATGAGATGACACAGAGATGGGGCAGGCAGGTGGAGAAGACTTTAGACCTACCTTTCACAGAGGGCATCCTGAGGACTGTGGAGAATATCTGGATATAGGAAAGGCAAATGGCAGTGAAACAGGAAATTACCATGACAGCAATGAAAGCAACTGTTCCAACTCCACCCAGATAATCATTGGAGCAGGAGATCTTGAGCAATTGGGGGACATCACAGAAGAACTTGTGGATTATCTTGACCCTGCAGAATCTGATAGAGAATATGTTTGCTGTGCACAGGGTTCCTAGAATGGCTGCACTTAGCCACACAGATGCCGCAGCCCATCTGCACATTCTGGGACTCATAATGACCTCATAGTGCAGAGGGAGGCAGATGTCCACACAGTGATCATAGGACATCACTGTGAGAATTGCCACCTCAGCCCAGCCCAAATATATCAAGAAGAAAATCTGAAACACACATTGAGCATCGGAAATGTATCCAGTGCCTGTCAGGAAGTCGTGGATAGATTGGGGGACAGTGACAGAAAGGAAGGAGAGGTTGAGAAGGGAAAGGTGCTTCAGGAAGTAATACATTGGAGATTGGAGCTGTGAGTTCATCGTTGTGATGGTGATGATGATGAAGTTACCTGTCAAGCCCAACAGTACATCACCAAGAAGAGCAAAGCATGCAGGATCTGCAGCTCCTGGTGGTCAGAGAACCCCAGGAGGAGGAAGCCGGTCACTGTTGTTACATTTGTCACAATCATGTTGAGAACAGAAATTGTGGATGCAACTGGAAAATAAAAATGTAAAATGAAGTACAAAGATAACATAACAAATTATGACTTTAATTAGCATTGCTTGTTTCAAAAACTAATGGTAGAAAACTTTAGATTATCAGTTTTCACTTGATGTGAGAGTCTAAAGGATGAAGCTTAGATTCTTACCTATTGGGAGCTCACAGTTTTAGTAGGAAACCAGTTTCTACAGAAGGATGATCCTGAGTTCAGGTCAGTGTAAGTACCTCAAAGAAAACTCTATTACCTCATAAAAAATGTTCTTCTCCTTTGACTGCTAAAACCCCTTACTGTAAAGCCATTAGCAGGAACACAGTACTGGGATATTGGTGAAAGTTTTCTGAACTTTGACTCCTGTACATTTATATAGTGTACTGAGTTCAGCAGCTCACATGTGACCCTGTAAAGAAAACTGACTTTGGAGCTTGAATAATAGTTCTCTGTGGGCACTTGGTATCAGTGTCCTTTCTAAAAGACAGAATGGGAATCATAGTGAGAAGTGGCTTTTTTGGTTCCTAGGGAATGAATGTGTTGTTTCTCTTTTCCTGCTATGATCATAGTCATTGGATTTGAGCTCAAACTCAAACCCAAAATAATGCTGTCAAGGAACACTTGTGGATATGTTTGCCCACTTACATAAAATTCTTACATACTTAACTCATATTGGGTGTTTACATTCTTGTGTTCAATACTGTCTGGTGTTCAGGAAATTATCCGTTATTCATTGTATTTAACTCCTCTTTATATCACTTGCTTCAGTTACAGCCATGGATCAATTACAGAACATTCACTCTATGCAGTAGCAGTTGAAAAGAAAGTAGAAAAATGAGAAATAGTTTAATATTGGAAGGATAGCATTCACACCTGTAGTGTGTAACCTCAGATTGGTAAGAGTAACAGTGATCTACCTTCCTCATAACAGAGAAGTTAGTTTTTATTTTTCTGAGACCTTTGTAGGGTGGTGATGTTAATTCATCCTCTGTGCAAAATTCCCCCTGAGGTGTTAAGGCTGACACTCACTCTTCCACAGGTCATTTTCAGTGCTGGCAGCAGGTACATGAGGCTGTCTACTGGTGCTTTGATATTTTTCTTCATCCTGTGGAATTTCATGTTCCCTTGTGTCCAGGTGATTAGTCATCTGAGAAAGGATGTCTGGGAGAATCCTCAGCCTCAAAACCAGGTCTTCCTCATGCCTTGTGAATATGAGATAGGCATTTGTCCATCTCACGCTGGTGTCTCCTGATTAAAGCAGAACCAATTTTCCCTTCTCTCACATTTTTTTGCAGAGACTTAACCAGGCACCTGTTCGTTGTTTGGTTTAGAGTAAAATTTTTTATTTGATTGCCTATTCACTGTTCATTGTTTGGTTAACAGTAAAAATCTGTATTTGTTCCAATTGTGGTGCAGAAGCTTGTAATTCCAACATGCAGGTGACTTGTAGGAAACCAGGATGACATGCCCTAGGGTGAGATGAGCCTAAAACTTCTTATTCCAGGCTACGTTTTCTGCTAAAACAGGGGGAACAGAAAACAGCAGCTCTGATATCTATGTCTTGCAGAACACTGCGGGGCTAGCAAAAGAAAAGTGGCCAGGTCAAAAGTTTAGTCTCCTTGCTTTGCAGGAAAGCATCTTGGTCAACATTCCTTAGCTCATCTCCCTGAGCTGAACAAATAACTCAGCTGTCATTAAGCTGGCACCAACTAAAAGCTATATGTCATGTTTCTTGTCTGATTGTGCCCTAAACCTTTGTGTGTAACTGCCAAACCCCACGTGACTGCTAGTTCCTTGTAATGTATAAAAACCCTCTGAATTTTTAATAAATGTCTTCTGTGAAGGAAATCGCATGTCCCAAAGTCATTACTCTGTCACTGATTAGTCTTTGCCACCAAAAGAAGCTAGTAGGTTCCCCACTGAGCAAAACAAATGCAGGTGCTGAAGGAGAGAAAGGGAAGGAGTGAAGGAAAGAAGGTGGGTAAGAGAGAAAGAGAGCTAGAAGGGATAATAGGGGAAGAGAAAGAAGAGAAGAGAAGAGAGGAGAAGAGAAGAGGAGGCACATCTAGATGAATGTTCAAATTTTTCACTGGCACTCATAAGAATTTCTTGAATCCTATGTCTGGGAATCATATATTTATACTTCT